TAGTTAAGCGGGACCTAATGGGAGCAACCTTGCTTTTAGCAAGTATGAGATAGACGGAAGTATGGCCAGAAGAGCTCACAGTCCGCAAATATACGACAGCAGCATAGCCTTTCTCAGAGGCGTCGCAAAACCCATGTAGGGTAGCCCGGCATTTACCTGGAGGGAGGAAGCACCTTGGCATAGAGACCCGGTTGATGTCCGGAAGGGAGGAGACCATGGAGAGCCACTCTCGCAAGAGGGTTCCGCTAATAGGCTCGTCCCAACCCAACCCGCATATCCAGAGCTTTTGAAGAAAGCACTTAGCCAAAAAAATGACCGGAGTGATCCATCCATTAGGATCGAAGGGGCGGGCTACTGTAGACAGCACGGAGCGCTTGGTCCATGCTTTAAGAGGGGGATCGAGTTTGACTCGATACGTAAAAGTATCCTGAACAGACTGATATTGAATGCCCAGCACAGTCAATAAATTAGGATGTTCAGGGTGCAACCATTTGCGTAACTCATAACCTCCGGACTTCAAGATGGCAATCAATTTGTCTCGCAATACAAGAGCCTCCTCGATGGTGGAGTCGCCCGTGCAAATGTAGTCCATGTAGACCGAAGTCTCCAAAATAGAAGCCCCCCGAGCGTATTTTAGACGCTTTGTCTCGCGAGTTCAAGGAGGGTTCGCATGGCGATATAGGAGCTGGACCGGAGTCCATAGGTGGTGGTGTTCAACTCAAACACCTGTATCGGATCGCTGGGCTTCTCGCGCCACAATAACAGATGATATCGACGGTCATCACAATGGACCACTGATTGTCGAAACATCATCGGAATGTCGGCTACAAAAACCACTTGGTGCTGATGGAAGTGGGTCAAAATGTCGGATATGTCCTTGATCAAATTAGGATCAGAGTGGATACACTAGTTCAGGGCCACACCATTTGACGAGGGGGCGGAGCCGTCAAAAACTACCCGAATCTTACTCCCAGGGGTCCTCAAGACCGCATGGCGAGGGAGGAAAGCTCTTGTGACCGCCAGTCGAAGTTGGACGGTGACATGTGACCCAGCTCTTGATACTCGCGCATGAACTCGACATATTTGTCGCGAAAGGCTGGGCCGCGCCGCATACGGCGCTCCATGGAAAGCAACCTCTTTTCGGCCAGGGTACGAGATTGGCCCAAAGCGATCCGTGAGTCAAGAAAAGGTAAGCGAGTGACAAAACGACTGTCAACACGATGGCTAGTATTGTTTTGGTAGAACAACTCGCACTCACGGTCCAGAAGGTTGACTCGAGTCGCTTGTGGTGGCTACTCAATTTCCCAGAACCGCTGGACGACGTCCGAAAGGGACACGCACACAACAGAGAGCGGTTCGGCCGTCTGAGGAGGTGGAGACCACAGAACCGGTCCAAAGAAGCTGTGCTCAAATACAGTGAAACATGGCTGACAAGCAATCGGGCTGTAGGGCTTGTATCTCGCCGAACAAGATGAACCCCAGCGAGTCGGCCCCCAGCAACAAATCTATAGGCCCAGGTTGGGACCACTGAGGGTCTGCTGGTCTCAAACCCGACGCACAACGAACTGCGCTGTCATTTATACGGACGTTAGGGAGAAAACCTACAATGTCATCGAGGACATTTACTTTAACTAGAAAGTGAAGGTGTTCGCTGGCAGGGCCAAACACCAACTCCGCTTGTCCCCTAGGAGTAGGAGGCTCGGCACCTCCGATACCTACCTTGGATGTGATTCAGAGCTCCAGGGGAGCCCTAGTCTTCCAACCAACAAAGTGGAGGCCATACAGCGTTGTGAACCCGAATCCAATAGAGCGCGAACCGTAAAACCGTAAGTCGCCACTCGGGTTGTACACCTTCACTGAGGCCGTTGGCAATAAAACAGTTTGACAAGTGGACTGTTGACGGTTGAGGTGGCCCTGGTGGGAGCTAGGGCGGCAGCTACCTAGCTGGACCGGCACTCGAACCGGGGGTCTTGAAAGCGGTATTCCGGCAGCATGTCAATTACCCGTGGTTGGAAACCACCGAAAGGGCCGAACATATTCGAGGTCGAAGGAACCCCGTAGTACCGGTAACGCGGTCCAGTCGCGGCCACTCAGCTAGCGGGGGTGAGAAGGGTCTAGCTGACCGCTGAGTGGCTGTGAAGTTCCTCTCAACACGCTTAGGGTGTGACCCCCTTCCCTGGGGGAACGACCCCCCGACTGGTCGGGGGAGGGACTCACTTCAAAACCAGCGGCACGGTGGCCGGCAGGCGAACGCCGAGCGTCGCCCGACAGAGGGCATGGCTGAGCGCCCCCGCCCGTGGGAGTTGAGAGCCCGGCAGAGCCCCGAGAGGAAGCGCCGTTCGCACCCAGGCACAAAACGGCATGGTTAATGCCCTGGCAGTGTAGAAAGGACCGCTGGTGCGGGCAGTCTCGTTAGAGGTGCCTTTCCAGGCACGAGTAGCACCCCGGGGGCTACCCCGCGGTGCTCCTTGGCGATGGTTCGCCTCGCCGAGACCGGCTTACCCAATAACTTCGGGCACGACGTCACCCGGTGATCGAATACTCGACAATAAGAGCAGGGGGGCGCCTCCTTGGCCGCTAGGCCGCTATAAGATGGTAGGGGCCGGCGCCCTCCCGCGGGAACTCCGCTCGGCCTAAGGGGGGTTGGCGACGACTTGCCCGGCGGATTCCGCCTCTCCCTGGACACGGCTCGATTGGCAACCCGTAGGTCGTCGACGGTGCCCACTGCGTTCTCAATTAGCCGGTAATGCTCCTCCAAGAACCGCAGCAGGTCCCTGAAGGGCGGAATATAGGAGGCGCCGTCCCCGCCGTACCTCTCCTCAAAATGGATCCGAAGATCGAGAGGTAGGCGGAACAGCACGATGTGGAGCAACAAGAAGGACCATTCGTCCAGCGGTAAATCCAGCCGCCTCAACGAATTAAAGACCACCACGACTCGATTTACGATGTCCGGACGTAGTCTGGCCCGGTCCCTAAGCAGCGGGAGGTTTAGAAGCTACCTAACGTATTCGTCCGCAATTCGTTGGACGTGGGCGTACCTTCCAGCGAGGAGGTCCCGGGCTGTCTGGTAGGCGTCGTCCGACAATCTCAAATGGCCAACGACGCCCAGGGCCTCCCCTCCAGTGAGGCCAGGAGGTACGCCATCTTCTGGCTTGGTGTCAAGTACCTCCGGGCGTCCACTAGGCTATCAAAAAGACCAAAGGTCAGCCAGTCGGAGAGAACCCCGGAGAACCTTGGCAGATCCAGGATTGGGAGTCGTCCCAACAGCCTCGGGCAGGCCACTCAGCCGAGCTTCACGTGCTTCATTAGCATACTTGCCCCCCCCCCCCGGATAGACACGCGCGGGAAAGGGAGCTGGGCGGTGACCTAAATACCATCGGATGCACGCGCCGAGACGAGCGTTTTGAATGCAAGTTTTAAATGTTAAGATTTGGCCTAGACACACTCGTAATTCATTTATTTGTATTAGTTAATCAATAATAAACTACTAAAGGTACTTCATTCCAACTGAGTGTTCCACGACACTCACGCAAGTTCTTTTCTTCTGTTTGTCGAAAAACTCTTTCTCTTTCTGAATACTCATTTTACCATAAGAAGATTTGTTAGAATACTGGAAAAGGCTGTTTTAGTTTGTTGTCTGTTTTTGTTTGGTGCGGGTGTTATTGAGAGACATGAAAGTTAGTAGCAGTGATTGCTATGCCTGTATAGTTATTGCTCTGTACGATAATTAGCCGAAGTGCGCCAACACTAGTCGTAATTTTGTGTACACAATTAGTCACTAAGCTTTCGGGACAAGCAGGAATGCACTGAATGACACACGTCCGGGTTGCAGGAGAGCGCGATAATATATTAAATTTCATATTATGAATTAAAATTGTGATATAAAGCTTTTCGAATTCTAGAATATTTCTCATTTTGTGTATGTATGCCCAGCCGCAAAAGAATTTATTGCAATGTATAATAGTAAATTATGTTTTTAATATTTAATATTTTTACAGTTCGCGGATTATATCTGGCGCCATGGAATTTTTCCAACGAGATGTCCACATAAAACTAAGATCGGAATGGACGAGGTAATTTTTATAGATTAGCCACACTAAAAACATACTAGTTTCGACACACAAGTTTCTCTTTCTCCAAGTCCAAATCCTATTTCTCAAACTAAAAGAAGAACATTATTCATCATATGAAGGAAGAAATTTCAGTAATTTGTTATTAGATACAAAAGTAAAACTTCAGTAAAACGAGCAATTATTCGAGCAATAATATATATATTAGTTAACATACCTGAGATGCATATCCAAAGCACAGATTGAAAATGGAAAAGCACCATGCACAAAATTAGTATTGCAAACCTAATTAAGTAATTCCTAAATAGTAATAAAGAAAAAACTAGAATGTAAAAATCATATGTTTAGTATCGGATTCCTTTTATGAGGTGTGCTTATCTACTTGTTTAATAATTTCATTAAGTTGGTAAAAAAATTACCTCCCCTACATCCGATTGATAAAATAAAATGATGTATCTTACCTAGTTTAAAAAGCACCTCCTGCCCTCAATTGCGTGCACTATCCCCGTCACTACTAATCCCAGCACCGCTACTCCCAACACCACCACACTAGGAAAGACACGCCACTGACGATAATACGACACGTGTTTCACCTATACACGAGGCATCTTCAGGTGATGTAGACTCTGCGGTGGCTGACCGCTCTTAGCGGATAGATCTTAAATTGAACTAATCTAATCATAGTAAAACCTTTTTTTAATAAAAATATTGTTTCAGATGGCTGTATATGCATTTCCTTATTTCGCAAGCAAGCACTTGGATTTGTTCGACACGTTATTTATTTCTTTACGCAAAAGAAATTCGCAGATGACAATCCTACACATATATCACCACAGCATAATGCTTGTCTGGGGGTGGCTTTGTTATATGAGCCTACTTACTGATCACTTTGCAGTCGTCATTCTACTGAATAGCGTAGTTCATGTGATTATGTACTTTTATTACGCGCTTACTGTGTGTGCGCGTCGTTATGCTTGGTGGAGGAAGCACGTTACCCAAATCCAACTGGTGAGTTCGTTTTTTCATTTACTTTTTATTTGGGTACAAACACAAAACCCCTCGTGTTGTGGCGGGTACGAATACCCACTGCCCTATATTTTCCCGTGGGTGTCGCAAGAGGCGACAGAGGGAAACTGAGGCAGAAGATGGGCAGCAGCATCTTTCTGATAACAGCAAAAAAACTGCGGTTGCCAACCCGCTCGCCAAGCGTGACAACTATGGCAATATACCCCCTATGATAAAAGTTACGAAGAGACGTCACCCAGTCCCCGGAGGCCCACTATTCCTGGCTGCGATGCAAACCATGGCAACGGCAGGGTACGAGGTGCTAAGAATCTCTGATGGAGGTTTGTTTGCCACATAAGACAACTCGACCTGGCAACATATAACGTACGCACCCTGATGACTGACGGGAAGATCCTGGAGCTGGAAGAAGAGATAGACAAGTTGCGCTGGAATATTATAGGATTATCTGAGGTCCAAAGAGAGGGTAAGAACATGGTAATCCGTAAATAACTTGTTCTATCACCGGGAGGGCCATCATCTGTCCCAAGGAGGTGTCAGATTTATCGTCAACGAGTCTCTCGTTAACAACGTTTTAACGATTAAGAGTGTGACGACGAGGGTTGCGTACCTTATACTCAGAATCACCAAGCGATATTCACTGAAGGTCACATAGGTTTACACACCAACCTCGGCACATCTCGACAAGGAGGTGGATTCAATGTATGAGGATATATCCAGAGCCATGCAATCCTACAAATCTCACTATACGATGTTGATGGAAGACTTCAACGCAAAATTAGGCACAAGAGAAAACGGTGAGCTGAAGGTAGGGAAATTTGGAATAGGACAAAGGAAACTAAGGGGCCAGCAGTTGGCCGACTTCACGGCGAAATAGGGACTCTTGATGATGAACTCTTTTTTCTATAAGCAGAAGAAGTAGATGTGGTCAAGCCCCGAGGGTTCGACAAAAATGAGATTGACTTCATTATGACGACCAGATGACAACTATTCAGTGATGTCTCAGTGATCGCGAGGGTGAAAACTGGGAGCAATCACAGAATGGTTAGGGGCACAAGAAATCTAATCGTTAATTTGGAGACATCTCGTCTAATGAAGTCAACGTTCCATCCCACTCGTGCTCTAATACAAAGTCCCAAAACTTTTCAGCGCGAGTAAAAAAACAGTTACTAGTGTATGGAAGACTGCATTGAAATGGATGATATGAATTACAATCTCGTGGAACTGTCCATGCGGTCGGAGCTAAGTTTTGCAAGACCCACCGCAGAAGAACATAAAAACTCTCCGATCATACTCGTAATCTCATGGCAATTACACGGGAAATGAATCTGCAGTCTTCAGTAGTTTTGACAGCATACAGGCAACTGAACAGACATATCCAAATGCATGCAGCGAGACCTACGCAACCTTAATACTGCTCGTATTAAAAAAGCGATCGAGCGGAACCAGGGCTCCAAAGTCTTTGCCAGAGATCGGTCTGCCATAAAAAGCCAACTATTGAAGCTGAAGGCTGAGTGTGGCAGCGGCCTTTTCGGGACACCTGAGATTTTGAGTGACATTGAGAGGTTCTATGGGCAGCTGTACACATCATCTTTGGAGCCTTACTCAAGTGTGAGTTACGATTCCGGACATCAGTCCGAGCGAGACTTGAATGGCTCTCCAGATCCTATAAAACGGCAAGGCCCCAGGTGAGGATGGAATTACAGCGCAGCTTCTGAAATCGGGTGGAAAACTGGTACTTGAAGCTCTTCAGAGGCTCTTTAATTCCGTCCTCCAGGGTGGCACTACACCGGAGGTGTGGAGCAGAAGTGCGGTCGTTTTGTTCTTCAAGAAAGGGAACAACGCTTTTTTTAAGAAATGCAGACCGGTTACCGTGCTGAGCCGCGTCTACGTGCTGTTTTCGAGAGTCATTACGAATCGTCTCGCAAGCAGATTGCACGATTTCTAGTCTCCCGTACAAGCCAGTTTCCGAAAAAGCTTAAGTACCATGTACCATAATACCATGGACCACATACACACCCTTCGGAAAAGTTATCTGTACAGAAGACAGAAGTGTACACTCTGCTACTTTGCCTTGCGTATGTGAACTATGAGAAAGCCTTTGATCCCGTTATAATTTGGGTAGTGCTACAATGCCTTCAGAGGTGCCAAGTTGACTGTCGGTATATCGAAGTGCTGAAATGCTTGTACCGTAGGGCTACGAGGGCTATCCGAGTACAGAATCAGAGTACGAAAACTATCCAACTAAAAAGAGATGTAAGACAGGGTATAGTTATATCCCGATCCCGATCATGTTTAATGTGCATGTTACACTTATGCTGGTATTTGTTGGGAGCACTAAGCTTGGAGTTGTTGGTACTACTGTTTACCTGGGACAAATAGTCCGACTAGGTAAGTCCAACTTCGACCTAGAGGTCAATCGACGGATTCAACCCGGCTGGATAGCGCTCGGGAAACTACGACACATCTTCTCGTCAGACATACCTCAAAACCTGAAAACGAAATTGAACCAGTGCGTGTTGCCAGGGATGACTTAAGGATCTGAGAAGTGGTCCTTCACTGTTGGCCGTATGAGGAAGCTCAAGGTCGTTCAGAGAGCTATGGAGAGGGCTATGCTTGGGGTTTCTCTGCGTGATAAACTTAGAAATGAGGATATCCGCCAGAACTTTAGTAACCGACCTAGCCCAATGGATTAGTAAGCTGAAGTGGCAATGGTTTGGCCATATAGATCAAAGAACCGACAACCGGTGGGGAGGAAAAGTTCTCGAGTATCAACCTCGTATCGGTAGGCGAAGTGTAAGGTGACCCTCGCTAGATGGAGAGACGAACTGGTAAGACATGCAGGAAGTCGATGGATGCAGGTGGCACAGGACCGTGCTTTGTGGCATTCCATGGTGGAGGCCTATGTTCAGCAGTGGATTTGTAAAGGGCTGTAATTATGACGATAATGATGATGATGATACACGAAACCGAATCATATCAAAACTAAAACAAAAGAAATATAATAAGGGCAAAACTTGCAATCCTTACAAGCTTTACGGCTGACGTTACTCCAAAGCCACATGCTTTGAAACACAACTAGGTTAGACGTGGTAAAGACACGCTGTGGCTATATTACACTACATTGGACGGGGAAAGAACAAGGACACACATAATACCAGGCTAAAATAGCAGCTCAACGCTGCTGTGTTTCGTATGGTGAGTGTAGAGAACCGGATACCTATTTTACTGGACAGGTGGCATTTAATCGCAGCCCTCAGGGATGACAACGCATTTGAATTTGCATGCTTAATCGAGGATATAGGAGGGTATAGATATCTGTGGGCCACAGTATTCTCTTACCATTATGGCTGTGGGCTCGCTTGTCACAAATCTATACAAGTAAATAAAATTTAATTGTCTTTTTAAGAATATTGCGCGCACAGATTAGTGTGATACTGCATAGTTAAAGTTTATATGAAGGAGTGCAGCGAGCTAAAATTTATATATATTGAGTTACAAATATAAAAAATAAAATACGATTATATCAATTGTTTGCATTCATACTGCTAATGCCAAACACATGATCAAAAAATATATAATCACCACATAATTATACGGAAATACAAGGTGCAATATTAAGTGCAACATTTACAACTCTGAAGAAAGATATCGTAAGGGAAACCCGTGTCTGGAATATTCAAAATATTTCTACAAGTGACCATCACCAACTTAACTGGTAAAGCAAGACGAGCTCATCGAGCAACTGCATCCAATTACTGACATCCAGGACTTTTTTTCTACCGAAAAATCAGTCTGGGCAGTTACCACCTGCTACTTGTGCCATGCGTTGTGTTCCGGTTTTAAGGGTATAGAAAAGCAGTTTAATTACGGGCTGTAAGTCATTGTATTTTATTCCTCAGACGTAACAACGCATCTGTAACCTTTTTTTCGAAGATGGTATTAATGTAAGTGATTTCTCACTTCAATTAAGTAAAGGGATTGTTCAATAGCAGGAAGTGAGCTCTTTGACACTTGCACAATAGCGACACACAAGTAGTACTTTACACTATTGTTTCCTCTTCCTCCGTGTAGTTTCCTTTTATTCCATGTTAGTCTTGGACTTAAAGTCACATGTTAATATGAGACTTACAACATAAAAATATGTCAACTGTGTTACTTGCCTAGCATGTCTTAATAGGCAGTAGTAGTAATATTTTTTCCTTATGTTTTGGTTTGATCATGTTGGCCACTGGCAAGCCCCACCCATCACTGCTTTTACAGTTTTCTATGTTTATCCATACTTTTTGGCTAAACATGGTCTGAGTGGCTCGTTATTCTTTCGACTCTGCCTACTCCTCCGGAGTTTACAGGTGTGACGTATCTTAATATGTATGTTTCCTTTTCAGTTGCAGTTCGTCTTGGATATATTTGTTATGTTCTATCATCAGTATCAAACACCGTGCCCTATGCCATTATCTATTCATTGGTTTGCTGTGCTTACTACAGCTACATTCTTTGGACTTTTTATGGATTTCTATTTAAAAAGATATGGTAGTAAAATTCAGAAGGTTATATAGGGACGTAGAAAAACTTTATAAATACATTTATATCTTTTACACTTTTCATATTCTTATATAATGTGAAAATATTTGTAATGTTTGCTCGCTTTTAGTAATATTACCTAAGTATTTAATGGTTCTATCACGTCTAGTTTATGATATATCTGTTAATATTTTTACGACCTTTATATAACGATAATTGTTAAAAATAAAGGAATTTTCGAAATCTCTGTTTTATTTTATGTTAAGGTAAAGGCACCTATTTCCGAGGGAATCTAAAATTAGCACCATATTCCAAAGTATTTAGAAAAACTGCGTTTACCAGCGATTTATAAGATTTTTTTACTGCAAGATCTCTTATTGAATTGATAATGTTACTTTGCGTAGATAAATCATCAAAGGTCTGTAGTTATGTAATGTGTTTACATTTTAAAGTAATACGTTAGTTTTGCGTCAGCAGTTAGATGCTTGAAGCCACACTTCATATATTTTGGACCGTGTGCACCTGATTAGCATATTTTTAAATAGTAATTTTTTGGTTATTTTTGTATCGTGTGTGTAATTCTTTGAGTTAAGGCTTTAACTAGCCTCAATGACCTTGACGAAACGACGATAGCAGAGATTTTAGCCAACGTCAACACCGTTTAGCGGCTACGTTCTGTATTACTTATAAAAGTGCAAAGATTAATAGACTGCAGAGGTGACAATTATATAAGTCAGGGCTTCCCTAACTCGCGTCGCGACGCCCCGGGCATCGCGGCTCTATCCCAGATCTACAGATTGGCTGTGTTTATGCGACCCAGTCGAATGAGCGCCGCGCTCATTCTGATTCTGTTCTGTCGATAGCAGGCGGCCAGCAGGCGTCGGCGTCGAACTCCCTCCGTGTAATTCCCTTTCCCCCACGTATACATATCGTTTCAGGCAGTTGTTATGTCATAAATACTTTTTACTCCATATTATAAGTCCTGTACACTTTATATTGTTTATTTAATAAATTACTTTCTTAGAAGCCAAACGAATGTTATGTCATAGGATACTATTTACTTTATGTAATACGACCTGTTTACTTTATAAAGCATATTGTTTACTTTCTTAGAAGCCACACTAATTCGATTGTAATATTATATGCTAATGTTTATAGTTTATCATAAGTTAACCATAAGACCAAGAACAATGTTGTTCCCTTATGTTTACGCCCACCTCCTAGGTTCCTACACTATGTAAACCAATTTTTTCGATCCCTCAATACAATTCCATTACAAAGTTCTCTGTATCAACAATTATATTTTAAGTTAGTTTGAAAGTAATAAATAAATTTATTTTTAAAATATTTTTTGTCTCTGCCACATAACACAGTCAAGCTTTTGTTTTAATTACGCACGCGGAGTTTCAATATTGACTATGGATAATTTTATTCAAAGAAATAGAAAACGAAGTGAAGACTCAGGAGAAAGAAGTAAAGAAATTTCAGAAAAACGGAAGAAGTATAGAAAATATGACGACCAGTGTTTGGATTTCGGATCTACCTACATTGTGAATGTAGAACTTCCTCAATGTGTTGTTTGTCATAAAGTGTTGGCAGCTGAAAGTACGCTTCCTAATAAACTAAAACGTCATTTGAAAACAACTCACAGTAATTTACAAGGTAAGCCGAGAGACTTTTTTGTTAGAAAATTGCGAGAACTGAAACATCAGTCCACGGCTTTGCTTCATTTCAAGAGCATGTGGCATATGTGGCATAGAAATACCTTTTCACAAGCTAATTGTAATTTATATTTACAGAACCCCTTCCTCTGACTCTACCATATTTCTAAATAAATTGAGGTATTTACTACATCGGATTAATCGTCCACAAGTCTCTCGTTAACAACGTTGTAAAGATTGAGAGTGTGTCGACGAGGGTTGCGTACCTTATACTCATAATAACCAAACGGTATTCGCTGAAGGTCATACAGGTTTACGGACCAACCTCGGCACACCCCAATGAGGAGGTGGAGGAAATGTATGAGGATATCTCTAGAGCCATGCATTCCTCCAAAACCCACTAACTAGGCACAAGAGAGAACGGTGAGCTGAAAGTATGGAAATTCGGAATAGGGCAACGGAACCCAAGGGGCCCGCAGCTGGCCGACTTCGTGGAGAAAGAGGGACTCTTTATGATGAACTCTTTCTTCCATAAGCGGCCCCACAGGAAGTGGACCTGGTCGAGCCCTGACGGTTCCACAAAAAATGAGATTGACTTCATTATGACGACCAGATGACATCTGTTCAGTGGTGTCTCCGTGATTGCGAGGGTAAAAACTGGTAGCGATCACCGAATGACAAACAGAACTTAAACGTTAAGTTGGAGAGGTCTCGTCTAATGAAGTCAACGCTCCGACCCCCTCGTGCTCTATTCCAAAGTCCCGAAATATTTCAGCACGAGTTATAAAACCGTTTTCAATACCTAGAAGACTGCAATGAAGTGGACGATATGAATGACAAGCCCGTGGAAACTGTCCATGCGGTCGGAGCTAAGTTCTGCAAGACCCGCCGCAGACGAACACAAAAACTCTCCGATCACACTTATAATCTCATGGCTGTTAGACGGGAGATGAAGCTACATTCTTCAACAGATTTAACAGCAAACAGGCAACTGAACAGACAGATATGCAAATGCATGCAGCGAGACCTACGCAACTTTAATACTGCTCGTATTAAAAAAGCGGTCGAACGGAAGCAGGGCTCCAAAGTCTTTGCCAGAGATCGGTCTGCCATAAAAAGCCAACTATCGAAGCTGAAGGCCGAGTGTGGCAGCGGCGTTTCCAGGGCACCTGAGATTTTGAGTGAGATTGAGAGGTTCTACGGGCAGCTGTACACGTTATCGTTGGAGCCACACGCAAGTGTGAGTAACGATCCAACAGCGAGTCTTATCCGACACTATTCCGAAGATATCCCGGACGTCAGTCTGAGTGAGATTAGAATGGCTCTCCAGCACCTTAAAAACGGCAAGGCCTCAGGCGAGGATGGAATTACAGCGGAGCTTCTGAAAGCGGGTTGAAGACCGGTACTTGAAGTCCTTCAGAAGCTCTTTAATACCGTCCTCCATGTTGGCGTTACACCGGAGGCGTGGAGCAGAAGTGCGGTGGTCTTGTTCTTCAAGAAAGGTGACAACGCTCTCTTGAAGAAGCATACATTTATCACTATAGACCACATACATACCCTTCGGCAAATTGTACAGAAGTCCGAGGAGTACAATTTGCCACTATGTCTGGCGTATGTGGACTATGAGAAATCCTTTGATTCCATCGAAATTTGGGCGGTGCTGCAGTCTCTTAAGCGGTGCCAAGTTGACTTTCGGTATATCGAAGTGCTGAAGTGTTTGTACAGTAGAGCTACGATGGCTATCCGAGTACAGAACCAGAGTACGAAACCTATCCAATTGCAGAGAGGTGTAAGACAGGGTATCGTTATATCCCCGAAACTCTTCGACGCTGCACTGAAAGACGTTTTCAAGCTTCTGGACTGAAAAGGATACGGTATTAACATAAATGGCGAGTACATCATTCACCTTCGATTTGCCGACGATATAGTCCTTATGGCAGAATCGCTGGAGGACCTAAGCACTATGCTCAATGACCTCAATAGTGTCTCCAAATGAATAGGTCTTAGGATGAACATGGACAAAACAAAGATCATGTTTAATGTCCATGTCACACCTATGCCGTTAGTTGTTGGGAGCACTAAGCTCGAAGTAGTTGATGAGTATGTTAACCTGGGACAAATAGTCCGACTAGGTAAGTCCAACTTCGTGATCGTCCAGTAATGACTTTCGGATCTGAGACCTGGTCCTTTACTCCTGGCCGTGTGAGAAAGCTCAAGGTCGCTCAGCGAGCTATGGACAGGGCTATGCTCGGGGTTTCTCTGCGTGATAAACTTAGAAATGAGTATATCCGCAGTAGAACCAGAGTAACCGACATAGCCCAACGGATTAGTAAGCTTTAGTGGCAGTGGGCCGGCGATATAGCTCGAAGAATCGACAACCGATGGGGAAGAAAGGTTCTTGAGGGGCAGTAGGCGAAGTGTAGGGTGACCGCCCACGAGATGGAGTGACGACCTGGTAAGACATGCAGGAAGTCGATGGATGCAGGTGGCTCAGGACCGTGCTTTGTGGCATTCCTTGGGGGAGGCCTATGTTCAGCAATGGACTTATGAAAGGCTGTAATGATAATAATTTACTGCATGATTTATCAAAAAAAGTAAAACCACATTTCTTTTTTTTTTTTTTTTATGGGATAAGGTTGACAAACGAGCACACAGTCCACCTGATGGTAAGTGGTTGCTGCGGCCCATAGACATCTACATATATCCTCGTTTGCGAATCAAAATGCAGATGCGTTGCCACCCGTGTGGACTAAGATGGAATGCCTCATTTCCAGTGAAAAGAGCCTCATTTCACCTTGAAACCTGGCAGTCTGACATGCCACTTAAAAGATCCATGCAACAATTATAATTTGAAACTCCATATCGATGTTGCAACTCGGAAAGAATCGTGTATAGATCACATCCTCAGTAATGTGAAGGACAATACTGCTCATGTACTGCCTCTCTGTCTGTCGGATTATGAAACTACTGAATATCCCGAACAAAAAAAATTCCTAAGACAGAAAAATCCTACTATTCATTCAAAACAGACTATTCTTTAGAAAATATTAAAAAGTTTAAGGAATGCTTGAATAGCCTCTCTTGGTCTGAAGTATATAGTGAACCTAACTTGAATATAGCCTTCAATAACTTTCATTCGAAATTCAGGTTCATCTACAATTTGTGTTTCCCAACTAAAAAAGTAAAGGTTAATAACTCAAACAAAAACAATCGCACGTGGTTTCAGCAATCAATAGACAGAAATATTTTACATATTCCAATATATTTTTTAAAAACCTAAGAGACTTGCAAGTGTAAAGCAACGTGATCAATAATAAAAAATGAAATAGGTATAACACAAAGCGAAGCTGTTGACTGTCTAATATTGGAAAATT